ACCTTATCCCGTCCCGCATATCCGCATACAGAAACTCTTTGGTACCCTATCTTGCCCGGATACTGACCGACAAGGAAAGTGTTCGCTCTGAGCTTCTAATGCGTTTGGTAATTAACTCATACCTTTGTACGTTTTCACATCCCACTTTCCCCCCTGTAACGGTGGTCTATTTTTTGGCTGAAAGCTTGTATATATAACTCGCTAAATACAATACAATCGGAATAGCATTGCGTGCAATAGTGTACAGTGACGCATTAGCATCTTCCGCGAAACACATCAACCACAGGAAAGATACATGCTCGTTCAAGGAACGACAGAAATCGACACTCAAATACAGATTGTGGCTCCATGTGGGCACATCATTTTGTTACCCAGATGCCAAGTGTGTCGGTAACTCACAGCTGGACAAAACGTCTCGGAATTCCAGACCTGAATGCACTCGCTTTTCGCAAGTGGTGAATCGGGCCTGCATATACGGCACAAGCACACGTAAACAGTTCGCAACCTTAACATATACGCGGTCATTGTGCGTTCATCGACACATAGAAAGACTGCATTAGCAACTATCGGTCGGGGTTACTTCACTCCAGGACGTGATGCGCAAATACCGCATAAAGCATGCATGGGGCAGGTACCCACACGTTCCTACGCACCCATACACACAGCTCTATGGTTCGAGGTATCCAGTCGGTTGAAATTACAAGCACACAGGTTCCAGCAACTGCCCGAGAATACGAGGACACTCGATAGTGTGGACAAGGACGACGGATGCTCCGATTTGATTGTTGACCAAATAAGAGTTTCGTAATCGGTATTTAGGTTTGCTAAGCCACCACCAGTGACATTCCAACCAAGCACTAAGGGGCCGTTATTTGGATTGAGTGGAATTAAAGCTATCGGGTTCTAATGCCGTTCCAGTCCAGGATCGAGCAAGCTAAAAATCAACCAGCTGAGCGTGTGCAAACAATCATGGACCTTCAAATGCTTCTCAAATTTAGTGTAGCTAAAAATTGGGATATATATATATATATATATACACTCGATCGATCGGCCGACTGATTGAGATAGTCAGCGGGCAGAACTATCACATCAATCAACACAACAAACATGCACTAGGAGGTTCCCTAAAGGCAGAAACAACGGACCAACGGTGCAGGGAAGGAGTGAAATTTCGTTATAAACATATGCTAATATCCGTCTAACCTTTGCTCCGGAAACTTCATGTATTTTTTAACCGGTCCTGTTTTGAATTCATCACCGACCACCAAAACTCTATCGAACTGGAGTACTTCTCACTCGTAAAAATCAGAGGGCACAAAGTGTGTATATGACACCCAATTTGGGTGACCCGGTCATGCGGACGTGTTGGAATTGTGCACCTGATAGATGCACAGGGCATACCAGTTTTACGCGAACATCCCCCGTATCTAAACTCTCTAATAATCCTAAAATGAGTACAGTAACTGACAACTGGAGGGCCAGAGAAAACCGTGGGTTTGTTGTTGTTGTTGTTGCTGGATGTAACATCACATGACTCGTCCGTTTGATCGTATAAGGTGTGCGTAAGAAAACTGGTGACGTGAACCTCAACTGTGAACCATTTCTATAGTTCAGTCGCATGTCTGATTCAGCCTTAACACGCCTAACATGTTAAAAGCATTCGATTATTTAATTGCCACAGTGAAAGCCATTCAGGCAATGAACTCGCTAAATGCTAGGACTGCGACCGATTATTAATCGCCAGTACTCTGTGATGTTTTCACCCGAGTTCACCATGGAAAGTGGTGTTCGACAGGGTTGCCCTCTCTCTCTCTCTATTTCCATTCAACTTCGTTATAGATCTGATTATGGAAACAGCCCTATTCTCGTGCGAGAATAGTGCCATCGATTTACTCCCAAGTGGCAGGCTGTCTGATCTGGAGTACGCAGACGACATTGTGCTGCTAAGTGAATATCCAGGAAAGTTGCAAGCATTCCTGGATAACTTGAATGCCAGTGTAGCCATATTCGGTATGCGTTTTGCACCTTCAAAGTGTAAAATGTTACTTACAGGACTGGGTTGGTCCAGCACCCAACCTCACTCTTACTGGAGAATTAATAGAGCAGGTGAATAAGTTTTGTTATCTGGGCAGCTACATCTCACCCGGTGGACGCATCACGGATGAAGTGTGAGTTTTGTTATTTGGGCAGCTACATCTCACCCGGTGGACGCATCACGGATGAAGTGTCAGAAGAAGGCTCGGTTGGCATTTGCCAACTTGAGACATCTGTGGCCCCGTCGCGACATCCGGCTGTTCTCACCCGGTGGACGCATCACGGATGAAGTGTCAGCTCGCATACAGAAGGCTCGGTTGGTTCACCCGGTGGACGCATCACGGATGAAGTGTCAACTCGCATACAGAGGGCTCGGTTGGTATTTGCTAACTTGAGATGGCTGTGGCGCCGTCGCGACATCCGGCTGTCTGTGATGGTCGAGTATATGCTGTAGTAGTTCGGCCAGTTCTACTATATGGAGCAGAAACGTGGCCATTAAGAAAATAGGACAAAGATAGACTGTCGGTTTTTGAACACCGCTGTCTACGCAGCACTGCACGAATCTGGTGGGATAGCCGGACGAACAATGCTGAGGTTAGGGGCAGAGTTTTGGGTATCCGTGGTCGCCCTCCATAGATTACGTTGTTTGGGACGTGTTACGCATGTCACCAGGTAGGTTACCACGGCGAGCGATGTTCACCGAAGCAGATACCGAGTGGAAAAAAGCCAAGGGTGGTCAAGTTAAGACCTGGAATGAGGGTATGGAAACCCTAACCAGGAGTTTAGGTCACACAGGTCCCGTTATGCTTCCTGGATGGGGACCTCGGGATGGTCGTAACCGATGGTTAAAGACACTGAGTGATACGGCTGAGTGTCGTAAACAGTCGCGTTCGTGCATCTTCTCAATTTCTCTATATAATTAACCCACTGAACTTTTCAATCTTCCCTTCTATCCTACTTTCAATCTTTCCTGTCTTTCTTCTAATATTCATCCAAATGGGTAGCCGAAAGATAGTAACCAAAACCGGCGCACGTGCATGGTTAATGCTTAAGCAACCTGAAAACTGAAAAATGAGTACTCTGTGATGAGCTGAATACTACCAGGCGCGTCCCCGGGTTGTGGATAGGGGGATACCTTCACCAAAGAAAGTTAGCTTTCAATAGGTTGTGGTATACCTCAATAATCAGGCTGTCGAGAAGAAACAGTGGCGGCACTACCAGGTTGTGGTGAATTTCAGGCTGGTCACCTGGCTCCTGTTTAAAAGCCGCATAAGCCCAATGACGGTGTCGTGACAAAGGTGGATATGACTGGGCTTTTAATACTAAAGGCATTGACCTCTCAGTTCCGAGGCGAGGGATTACTTTCTGTTGCCTTGCAGTTCGCACTTGATTGTGCAAAGGCTAGAGGTGCGCCCTCAAAATAAAAAAAAGCCGAGTGACGCTGGGATCGTCTCTTGTACCAAACCCCCAAGGAACTTCATGATTATGATCATGTCTGGAGCCGGCTTATCCTTTCCAAGGAGCCAGCCGCAGTAAAGTAAGTAAAGTAAGTAATTACTTTGTGACGACCGATGTGAAAACTACTTATAGCATGCTTTTTTATGGAATCAGTGAAGTGATGTCACAGATTATCAGCTTTTATTGCACATGTGGAGATCAAGGGTATCCGAACGATAAATAGACTACGGTTCCCGAAATGAATGTTTGGTTTAGGGGGGGGGAGGGGGTACCAGTGCAGTTCAGCACTTTTGTGCGCCGGGTTTAATTGTTGTCTCATGACTGTCTATCTGAATGGAGGTGTAAAAGAAAGATTGGGATGTTCACACCCCTGTCAGAGTGAAAATAGACCGTTCACAAAGATGAAGGCTGCAAGTAAATTGAGAATATGCACCAGGGCCACTGTTTGCACAACTAAACCATATCACTCAGTGTGGGTATGCATCATTCTTCAATGCTAACACTTGCGCCATGTGGGTTTGACAACCGTGAAAGAGGATCCATTGCAATCGCAGTGATCACCATCGTCACCACCATTATGTAGCTGTCCAAAATCCAATATCACCATCGCAACGACCACCAATGAAATGATTGACCTAGTTCTTACGGTACTCAAATCAAATCCTGGACATCCGGAATCAACAAATATCCTCCAAGTGAAAACCTTGACAAACGCACGCATACAACCCTCAAACGAAATGTATTGCTTGTATAAAGCACTAAGCCTGCCGGTCGTGGTATTTATGGGTCATTGGTGGTTAACGACTTCCGTTTGTTCGAATTCAATGGTGGTCAGTAGAGTAGAGTAGAGCCCTCGCGCAATATACTGTAGACGAGTTGTGCACAGACCCAAAGGGTTGATACATGACTGAAATGAGACAAGCCAGATTTCTGGATAACATGGGTGGAGACAGCCACAAATATGTACGCGTATCTGTGGCTGTATTCTGGCGTGGTAGAACAATAAGCAAATCGAAAGCATGATTTACACAACTCCCACGAATTCAAGTGTAAGTAGACTGCCAGAAATCTATTCGAATATGTATAGAAACTGAACACAGACGGCTGGGTAGATACGAAGTTATTTGTGGTAGGGCATAACTGGACGACAGATGTCGGGATCAGTTACAAGATTTTGTGAAATAAATTGGGAATACAGCACCACAATTTTTCTGTTGTGCATCGGACAACCAAAAAAGAGCAAATGTACATATGCATTTCACCTAATCTCGAAAATGATAACAAAACGGCAAGCTAAAAGTAGAGTAAAACAACTTTTAGAGCCGATTCTTCGTCACTGACCTTAGGTGAGGGCACAACCGAGAAGGTAGTCATGATGCGATCCGGGTACTCTTCGCGAATCTTCGAAATCAGCAGTGTACCCATACCTGACCCAGTCCCACCACCCAGAGAATGGGTCAATTGGAATCCTTGCAAACAATCACATGATTCTGACTCCTTACGAACAACGTCCAACACCGAATCCACAAGCTCTGCACCCTCAGTATAGTGACCTTTGGCCCAATTATTTCCCGCTCCCGTGTGGCCAAAGATAAAATTGTCCGGGCGAAATAGCTGTCCAAATGGTCCAGCACGCACACTATCCATTGTACCTGGCTCCAGATCGATCAGAATGGCACGTGGTACGTATTTTCCACCCGCAGCTTCATTGTAGTACACGTTTATTCGTTCCAATTGAAGGTCTGAATCTCCGTGATAGATTCCATTCGGATCGATACCATGCTCATCGGAGATGACTTCCCAAAACTGGAAAAGATGGGAAAGTTATGGAACCATCACAATCTTATGCCTATATGCGGTAGGGATGAGCAAAACATCTGGCCGTTCAAATTTTCAAGAAATCACGGAATAAATATTTATAATTCGTAAAGGCCTACTATACTAAAACAGAGGTTGTTTTCCCATATCCGCATTCCAAAAGGAAAGCTAACACGTTTAACAAATCGCAAGATGTTCTGCGAATAAGGTTGCACACGATTCGATGTTCAGTTATTACGGACAATCGATTGATGGATACGGCTCTGTTCGGAGCACATAATACACTAGATCCCCCGTGGTTGAGGATTTACTCTTGGTTACAGGCAGCTGGACAGCAATTCACTCCCGCCCGATCGCCATATCTGAAAGAATTAGAGATCACGCAAATCGAATGAACCGAAAATATCCACCGAGGAAAATGCACCTTAGTGAAAAATTGCATTTTTTAGATGGTACATTGATCCAAAATTACCGTGATTTTACATTAACTACGGATTTGAGGGGTAAAACAAAAATGTGGAAGAAATGCATGGGATGATGTTTTTCCCATTGCTTTGTGATCGCAGATGAAAATGCGTCGAAACGAAACATCGGAAAGCAAGTTCTGGTAACCCCAGTTTTGGGCATATGGCCGCACTAATTCCGTGTACAGTCAGGTTATGGGGAAATGAGAGTGAAATCCCAATCCCCTTAAAAGTACATAAGATGGAACGAGAGATCTCATTAAACGACAATCAAATCTTAGTGATTCACAGCTTTAAGGGCATCACTAAGGTAACGGTGGGGAAATTTTGACCCCACTCCCCAAAATTGATGTTCTAAAAGCAACAGTAACATAGCTTCACAAAAGGAACAACCAAGTATTTCTGAAACGATCACGCGACTAACAGGATTGCAACCTTCTGCCTCATGTCCACATTCGGGAATGAACTGGTCAGGTGGTTTAATCTCGTCACAATTGATAAGAATACATTTTAATTAAACTAATCAGAATTAAACTGGTAGAAAGGAAAATAAAATGCTCAATCACATGACTAAGTCAAACTGTGACTCCCCATCATAAACCCTAATATGTCGGATTGACGTTCGATGATAGAGTGACTCGCAGATACCGAATCCCCAAATTCGGGTCAGAACACAAGGCTGGAAAATCTACTGCATAATCAATCATGAATTAATGGAAATACAACGGCATACCTCAAATTAGGGGCAATCCGGTCTGGACAAAACAATCTTGTCGACACGACAAGGGCAAACGTGCCAGGAAACACTCTTGGAAATCGGGAGAGTGCGATGTGGATTTAGAGACAGTGCTATTTAGAGGGTGGTGGGGATCAATCACAGGGATGGAATAGCGAAGTGACACCAAAGTCGGGGGGGGGGCGATGGCAACCGTAATCACGGTGTAATTGAGAGAATAGACAACGGACACGAGGGGTGGTTAA